CCAGTGCTTTGGAAGCCAGTCTTAGAGTGTAGTAATTGCTCTCTTAGCAAGGGCTTGACCTTTTTGCGTTCTTTGCCAGATTTAGATGACTCATTAAGACTTTTCACTATAAGCTAAAGGTCAATTATCTCCACTCCAAACCTATGATCTTTAATACTTCTTGGGAATCACAGTGTGAAACTAATTAGCAACAAGAGTGAAACCAGTTAGCATTCCATAGGCTTTCTCTACTCTAGAAAAATTCTACAGAAACAGTATTCTGGTCTGTATGGCAAATAGACCAATGTAAGATCTTGCCGGTGCAGTTTATTAAAGGTTAGCCCTTATATTCTTCTGTTATCAGATTTGGGACATGACTAATCTGAGTCTTGCTACTCTCCATGTTGATGTACTCCAAGAAGCAGCTGCGTGACTGCTCTGGTCTGCACACATACCATAGAAAACAGACAGAGAAGGCAAAACAGCTTTGGAGATAGGTAAATGGAGGCCTGTTATGCCCCCATATTAAATGCAGCATACAGAACTGCTGACTGAGTAAAGGTTCTAACTAATTCATGGAATATGAAACAATTGTTGCAAAACACTGCATCATTGAAGTCTGAATTTCACTAATATCCATAAGATGTAGTATTGATCAACTATTTTCCCATACAGGGTAATAATCCGTTTTCTCATTCCATGTGCCAGCCCTCAGGCCCACTGGTCTGTTTATTTAGAAGAGCTTCCCCACCATGTCCATGTAGGTTTAAAAAACAACAAACCAGAAGAAAATCACAAATTAAGTACAGTCTGCGTTTTTTGTGACCAAAGAAAACATAGCTGCACACCTAAGCAATAAAAAAACCTTCAGCATTACACAATATCTCTCTACTTTGATATGATGTTCAACAGCATTCATAACTAACAAGGTAGAATTGCAGTTCAGAAATATACTGACACAAAAACATACTGCCTTACTGACATCTCAGCCACAATAAGCCTTTATCACTTGTTAAGGCATGGAATAAAATAAAAGTGTAAGAATGAGCAAGAGGTGTATTATTAATGAATGTTAGTAACATTTAATCCTACTGTTTTAAACTGGCTAAATCGGCCAGTCTTCTGAAAACTTCAGTCACAAACCTCTGATTCCTTAGCACACATCACACATGCGTATACCCACCACACCCACCTCCCTTTCCCTCCTAATAATTTTCACCCTGTTTTCTACTTGAGCAAAAAAGGGTCAGGGTCATACACAGTCTGGCCCAGCACTGCCACCCCCAGCCTCTGTGCCAGTCTGCACACTCCCCCAAGACACGGGAGCTTCACCCTCACATACCTTCTTTACTGCAGCTGGGAGAGTTGCTTTGGTGCTCCTCATTTCCACATTCTGCATCCTGGGTCACTTCTGCAAGGACAACAGGCAATACTCAGACAATCCTGGAGCTCACAACACTCCCCTCTCTCTGGCCCAGATAGATCGAAAGTAATCTGACTGACAGGCGAGTATTTGTTCAGCATCAATAATAGCCCTGACCAACATCCCCCATCACCATGGGGTCATCATACAACAACTCCCCTCTCTCCTCCATACCCAACTCTGAACTGTCCTCATGATCCCTTCTAGACCCTGCAAAGGCCAAGCACAGAAGACACTCAGCGCGCATGGTGCCACCCATAACTTCACATCAAGAAGTGTTAGGCAAAAGTCACAACAAACAAAAATTGCTCCACAGCACAGCTCTTACCTCCTTCATTTATGCCATGGTCATCTGCATGCTTGGCCAGCAAGCTGCTGTTCTCCTTAAAGATGTCTGAAGAGAGATCAGAAGACAACTACAGTCCCCAGCCTTGCTCAGCTTCAAAATACTGGCTATTGCATAAGAGTGAGTTACTAGCTACAACTCAACACACTGCCAACATCATCAACTAACACCAAAAGGCCAATGCCTTTTCCCCAGAACAGCTCCCCACCACAGAACAGGCACTCACCTCCCTCAGTTACACTATGGTCAACCGCACACTTTGATGTCAGGGTGCTGTTCTGCATGGCAGAGAATTCTGAAAAAGAGATCACAGGAGAGCTACAGTCCTCTGGAATATATCTCACTGCTTAACTTCACAGCGGTATCAATCATTGCTTAGAGATGAATCACCAGCTACAGTTCATAAGACACACAGAATCACTCAGGTTCACCAGGAGGTCTCTAACCCAACACCCTCCTCAATGAAAGGGCAACACTGAATTCTAGACAGGTCACTCAGGACTTTCTCGAGTCAGGTCTTAAAAACCTCCAAGGGAAGAAACTACACAATGACTCCATGCAGCCTGTCCTAGTGATTAGCTATGCTTAGAGGTAGAAATCTTCTTCCTCATATCCACACAGAATCTCCTCTGCTTCTATCTAGGACCATCAGCTTGATAGCCTGCTAATATACCTCAGTAAACATTCAGGCTCAGCCTTCTTACGGATATCCCCCTAGGTATTGGCAGGTGCTCTTAGGTACCCTGAAAGCCTGCTCTCCTCCGGGGTTGGTTGTGCTCCAGTCCCTCACCATGTTGGTGGCACTCTACTGAACTTGCTCAAATTTATCAGCACTTTTCCAGCACTGGGTGGATCACAAACTAGATGTAATACTCTACATGTCATCTAACAAGTGCCAAGTTGTGGAAAATAACCACTTCCTTCAATCCACTGGCTTAAGCACTCCTTAAAACAGCCTAGGATGATGTCAGCTGCCTTTGCTGCCAGAGAGCACTGTTGACTCATAGTGTACTGTCCATAAGGACTCCCAGGTACTTTTCAGTAGAGCTGCTCCCCTGCCAGTCAGTCCCCAGCCTGCATGAGTGCAGGGTGTTGGTCCATCCAGGTGCAGGACTCTGCATGGCCCCTGCAGAATTTCATGAGGTTCATGCAGGCCTCTACCCCTCCAGCTCCCTCTGAACAACAAACCTGCCCTCATACAGATTGACTCCGCACCTTGCTGTCATCTATAAACTCAATGACACTGTTTTCTCTCCCTTATCCAGGTCACAAAAAAAAAAAGACAGACATCTGCAGTACTCTACCTGCCACCGGCATCCATGTGGAGTACAACCCATTAACCACTACCTGCAGGCTTCATAATCTAGCAAGTTTTCTACCCATGTAGATAGACATTCATCCAGACTAGGCCATCCCAACTTAGGACTCCAACAATGCTGAGGGACACTGCATAAAAAACCTTGCTAAAGTCAAGGTATATGACACCCATTGTTCTCTCCTCATCTGCAGATCTAGTCATTTCATCCAAAAAAGATTCTCAACTTGGTCAACTGCAATTTATGCTTACTCCCAGTCACCATCTTTCTTCTGTGACCAGAAACATGTTCCAAGAAGACTTGCCCCATGATTCTCCCAGGGATGAAAGTGAGCCTGACTGACTTGTAGTTCCACAGTTCTGACTGACTTTTAGTGTTTTTAGAAAATAGCTGCAATGTTTCCCTTCTTCCAGTTGTCACAGATTTCCCCCAACATGACTTTTGAAGGTGATAAAGAACATCCTCACAATGACATCTGTCAGCTCTTGTAGCAACCCTTGTATCAAATCCCATGGACTAGTTTGGGCCAAGGTTTCTCCAGAAATCCCTGATCTGATCCTATTCCATTAGTAGCAGATCCTTTCCTCCCCGAACCTGTCTCTAGGCAAAAACACCACAGAGACTGTCAAGATAGAGGCAAAGGTAGCACTTGGTATTCAGCCTTATCTGTATCTGATATTAGAGAATCAGATAATGGTTGATGTTGGAAGGAGCCTCTGGAAGTCATCTTGTCCAACCCCCTGCTCAAGTAGATGAACCTAGAGAAGACTGCCCAGGACCACATCCAGACAGCTTTTTAATATCTCCAGGAATGGAAACTCCACAACTTCTCTGGGCAATGTGTTCCAATGCTCAGTCATCCTTGCAGTAAAAAAGTGTTTCCCGATATTCAGACGGATTCTCTTACATTTTAGATGGAGCCCATTGCCTCCTGACCTGTCACTGGGCACTCACTGAGAAGAGCCTGGCTCCCTCTTTTTCATTTGCTCCCATCAGGTATTTATACACATTGATGAAATCCCTTCTCTTCTCCAGACTGAACAATGCCAGCTCTCTCAGCGTTTCCTCATATAAGAGATTATATCACACAATAACACAAGTTTGAGATTGGAAGGGAACCTTAGAAGTCATCTTGTCCTATGCCCCTGCTCAAGCAGGCTGAACGACAGCAGGCTGTCCAGGACCATGTTCAGGTCCAATCATCTTCATGGCCTTTTGCTGGGTTCTCTCCAGTAGCTATATATGTCCCTTGTACTGGGGAGCCCAGAACAGGACTCCAGGTGTGACCTCACCAGTGCTGATTAGAGGAGAAGGATCACCTCCCTCGCACTGCTGGCAACATTCCTCCTAACGCAGCCCGGGATACCAAGAGCCACGTTTGTTGCAAGGGCACATTGCTGGCTCGTGCTCTTCTTTTTGTTCTCCAGGACCCCCAGGTTCTTTACTGAAAAGTTGCTTTTCCAGCTGATTGGCCCCCAGCATATACCAGTGCATGGGGTTATCCCTCCCCAGGTGCAGGATTTTGCATTTCCTTTTGTTGAACTGCATGAGGTTCCTGCCAGCACACTTCTTCAGCCTGTTGAGGTCCCTCTAGATGGCAACACATCCCTTCGGTGTGTCAGCCACTCCCTTCAGTTTTGTATCATCAGTAAACTTGCTGAAGGCATACTCTGCCCCATCACTCACATCATTAATGAAGACGTTAAAGAGGACTGGAACCAGTATTAACTCCTGGGACATACCACTAGATATTGGCCTCCAAATAGAATTCATACCAGTGATCATAACCCTCTGATCTCAGCCATTCAGACAGTTTTCAGTCCACTGCACTGTCTGCTCATGTAGCCTATAGCTCATCATCATCAGATATAACTGACACAACACCCTGTTCAGCAACATGCTCACATTTTCCTCGTTTATTCTTTTACAGATAGCAGCATAAGCTGCTCTCATTATCCTGGTGATTCCATAGTAGTTTCAAGCCTCCCTAAGCATTGGCTTTTCTGATGCCATCCTTACCTGCCCAGGCAGTGTTCCTGAATTCCTCCATTCTAGCCTATCCCTGCCTCCACATCCAGTATAAGCAATTCTTGCACTGGACCCCCGTCAGGAGCTCCCTGCTTAGCCAAGCTGATCTTCTAATTTGTCTGCCTGTCTTCCTGACCATCGGGATGGCCTGTGTTCACGCCTGGAGAAAGTCCTCCTTAAGGGCCTGATGGCTCTCTTGAGCTCCTTTGCTCTTCGGAACTGTCTCCCATGAGATCCTGCCTGCCATTTTCCTGAATAAGTGGATATTTGTTCTCTGAAAGCACAGGGCCTGGACTCTGACGCTTCCCTTCCTCACTCCTCTCAGGATCTGGAGCTTGGTCACTACAGCCAAGGCAGCCATTCGTGACCACATCCCCATCCAGCCCTTCTCTGTTAGTGAGCAGCAGATAGAGCTGCTGCACATAAGCCCTGACTGATGCATCTGGTAGCCTGTGTGAAGAAGTTGTCCCTGACACTGCCCAGAAATCTTCCTGACTGCTTGAACTGCTGTGTTGCCTTTCCAGCAGATGTCAGGGAAGTTAAAGACAGACACACACATACAGAGCACTGTCTTCCACCAGAGATAATGAAGGACAGCATGATTCCATTTCAGAGAGCAGCAATCTCTCCAAACCAAGCTTCCTCTTGGCAAAGCTTCCTCTTGGTCACATCAACTCTTGATCCTCACTTAAGTGCTTCATGTGCACACACTGGGGTAATGGAGGCCCCCTTGCAGAGATCATAGAATCTTTGGGTTGGAAAGGACCTTTTAAGGTCATCTAGTCCAACCTCCCTGCAGTGAACAGGGACATCTTCAACCAGATCAGGTTGCTCAAGGCCTCTCTCCACTCAGATTTGTCTCCCACATCTCACTCGGTGACCACTTTTCCTGCGCTGTCTACAGGTCCTCCCTCTCGTCTCCAGTGCCATTCCGCAGTGCTCAGGGGTTTCAACAGGCAGCATTAAGCAGAAGACCAGAAGCCAGCACCTCAGCAGGGACTGCTACTTGACCAGTATTCTCATCTCGCTCTGACTGGGATTATTTTTTTTAATTTTTTTTTTTTAAACCCCAAAACACATATCCTTCAAGTCTGTATGCTCTGCTGGTGTTATTTCCAAGGGTGATAAAAACGCAACAGTTGCTCTGCCTTTAACTACAGCCTGAAAGCTGGTTAACTCTACTCCTGAAACTTCTGCACAGCGGACAGGCATTCAGCATTCATGGCACAATCCCCTCCAATACTTCCACTGAGAGGCACTACACAGAAGTTGCTCTCAGCCTTCAACTCCAAGGAATCCTGGCCAGTTTGCTCACTGGGTCATTACCACTGACTGCTCCATAGAACAGGCACTTACCTTCCTGATTTACACCGTTGTTAACTGTCTGCTTGTCTTTCAGGGCATTGTCCTCCTTCTTCAATTCTTTGTCTGAAAAGAGATCAGAGATGAGCTACAGACCCTCAGGAGCACACTCCATTGCTTCTTCCCCACACCAGCACAGGTTATTGCTCTGCTGTCCACAGCTCAGCAGCACACCTTCTCCTCTGCAATTGTTACGTACTGCTGTCCTACCAGCAGAAGCTGGCAGAATATTTAAAATTGCTTTGTACATGCACTTCAGAGAACATCATAGCCTTGCCCACCATTTCCCATCTGAACAGCAGTGATTGCATGCTACCTAGGTGCTGCAGGATGTACTGCGCAAAGGTGCATTGACTCTCCTTCCTGATGTTCCCACTCTATACTGCAACAAAATAAAGTATTTTATTTTGTTCCTCTAGTGTCCAAACAGACCTTTATCTAAGGACCTGATTCTCTTTTGCCTGAACTGTGCATTTCCCTCCTTTCTTCCATAAGACACGCATAAAATAAACCTCCTTCTCCTATACCCATGTCTACGTATGTGGAAATAGTTACACAAGTGGTAAGACAATCCCACAGTGCACCCCACCTTCGCCATCAGCTACACAACTCCAATTTCTTCAGATGAGGAAAGCTTTTCTATGCCCATTACAATTCATGCAGGAAGAATAAGCAGCAAAACCCACAGGCTTCTGGGTTTCCTCTTCCTTATTGTCGTTAGCGATTTTTCCCTTAATCAGGAAAAACTTCTGCCTTCTCCAACCCTGTTATTATCAGCTACTTGTGGAAAATGGTGGAAAAGTTAGTGAGTGAATGAATTATCAGTGCAACAGCCTAGGGAAAAAACCCTATTTTTCTGACTTGAACTATAGTGTTCATATTCCACTATCCCTCTGGAGTTAAAAGTGCTTCTAGAAAAAAAATACAGATCCCAGAATTTCCTTGAAATTTACACTGGCTATACTAAGAAAACAAAACTGGGGCTCTGCTTAGCTGCCTGATGAATGCAGTCAAAAGATCTTCCTAGATCATAAAGCAAGAGGAAGATACTGCATCCAGAAATGGTGCTTCATTAAGGAAAGAAGCCTGCTGTATCTTCCAGATTAGCATTTTGCAAGCTTGTAAGCATCCCATCTCTAAATCGGTGTGTTGGGGCTCAGACTATTTGCCATCAATACAAAGGTTTGAAGCAGTAGCATTTAATTATCTCAGGTCGTGCATGAGGGTTTCTTTCTGGCAGAAAGCAAAGATCACCTACCTATGATGACATACTATAAAAATATTCTTGCACTCTTTTGCATGCAAATAAAAGGTAACATTAGACAAAAGGGTAATTTGCTTATTTACTATAAAAAGGTCTTCCTTCATACATGCTTAGTTCTTCTTTCCACAGATGAAGTAATTTGCAAACACAGCATGCAGCATCATTCTCATCAGATCATGGAGGAAGCTGAAGCCCCAAGAAGGTATTTGCTCAGTGTTATTTAACAAACACAAGGATCCATGTCTTTTTGACTTCTTATCTAGTGATCTACCCATCAACATTCACTGTTCCTAAGGCAACAGGTCTTTCTAGGCCAACAGGGGAATGGTAATCTCTACACTGAGAACATGCTAATATGTTTTGGACTGCGAAAGGCTACATGCAAAATTAATTCCCTAATTCCCTCCTTCATGTTCCCCTGTTTTAGGGCATCATCCCACTTGTTACCTGCTTCAGGCTTTTCATTCTCATAATCAACAGCTTGTGAAGATGTAGCTGCAAGCAAACAGAAATCCTTTTTAGATATGTGCATGGATGTAACACAATAGTCTGCGAAATACGCAACTCAGCCGTAAAGTGACAGTTTCATTCACTATAACACTTTCAGCAGATACTCCTGAGAATTAGTATGTTATGCCACTTTACTGAAGGACTCACAATTAATTTCAACTTCAACTTCCCTCCAGCAACCACTTAAGGTCCCAGACCATAACCACCTTATCTATACTTATGCCTACAGCTTTACAAAATCTTTCTGAAGTGAGTTTACTTAAGGTAATAAAGCTGCACAGATTTGCCATAAAAAGCCAGAGACAGCTAAGAGGAGAATCCACAACTCCCTTCTTCATCTACGCGTTGATTTAACACTGCAACTTTAAACCTTTTCTCTTCACAGACCTTAAAGAATCTCCAATAGAAACCTGGGCCATTCTAAAGTAAATTTAAGTGCAGTAACAAAAGAAGGTTTTTTGGTTTTTTTTTTCTTCCCATCCTTCTCCTTTTTCCACCTTCAGTTCCATCCATAGTCTTTTTCACCTTCAATTCCACCCACAGACTTCAGTGTTCTCTGAACTGTGGGCTAGAGAACAGCTTTAACAAATGTATGAAAATATCAGAAGAAAAATTAAGTTCTTTATTCAAAATCCTGCTAAAAAGTTCATAAGACTTTGACATGCTGCAGCAGGGGGGATAGAAAGGGAGGGAAAAAAACCCAAACAAAACCAACAATAAAAAAACCCCAAAACTCTGCTTTCATAGTGCTGCCTCCCTACCTGTGGCACCTTTTCCAGGCCCATCACCAAGGACCTCATCATGTTTTTTAACATCCAAACCCATAAAAACACAAGAAACTTCAGAAATTAAATTAAAGAACAACTTAAGAAATTAAATTAAACATACAGAAAATCTCGACAAAGGTGACACAGCAGTTTGTAATCCAAGAAACATCCTGCTCCAGACTTACGCTAACTCCAGCAGCTGTTTTAAGATACCAGACTGAGTATCCCATGTGAAGCCACCATCAGGTTCAATGCCAGAACACTCCAACAGGGCACTGAGCTCGTATCTGATGGCAGGAGCCTTGGCCATTGCCCACTGAAACAGTATTTGGTCTGGTGACCTCCACAACAAACAATTTTTTAAGAGTCTTCCCCGGCTCTCCCTAATCTGCTTGACTGCCTAGGAGCTGATTTAGTTTGGTTTGTAAGCACAGACCACAGTGGTCCTGGCAACAAGACACATACACATTAAAGCTGGAACACCTTAATCTCATTGACCCTTGTGAAAGCAGCACAGACTAAAGGACTTGGCCCCTTCCTTAGCTGCTCACCGTATAGAGTGATTCCCGTACCCCAATACACAGACCCAGAAGCCAGAGAACTGAGCAATCTTGCTGCAAATTAAGTAAAACAAAACAAAACAAAAAAAACCCTCAACAAAAACCAATGCAGAAGCACAAGTGGAGATCTGTACATGAAGACAGGAATGCAGACAACCCTGAGAATCTGTACTGCCTGCAGAAGGGTATCACATAAAGAAATCATGGGTAGGAAGCAGACTGGTAAATTAGG